TATTATTATTATTATTATTATTATTATTATTATTATTATTATTATTATTATTATTATTATTATTATTATTATTATTGGTAGTAAATAGGGTTTCAGGCTTTTCTTTGACTACAAAGCACGAACGTATGGGTCCAATTGAGGAAAAAAAGGACTCCAAGTCGGCGTCTGTGGCATCATATGGGATTGTGCCTACAAAAAGTGTCGTTGACTTGCTGTTTTAAAAAACAGAATAGTTAAAATTAACCTTATAATAATGCTATGCAACCAGGGTTTAGAATACGAGAAGGCAGGAACTAACTTTAATTGTTGTGCGGCCATTTTCACGAACAAAACTCCAAAAAATCTAAAACTTATTGATCAATATCACGTGTTATATGATCATTTTTATTCATACTATTTTAAGATTCTATACTCAAAGTCTTGAGACCAGCCACACCCACACCCTCAAATAATCCTACAATATAAATATCAACTCTGGTTCCTGAGTATTCGCGAGGTACGCGATAAACCTTTGGATTTTCTTTGAGAATTGGTTCTTTACTATTACCATTATCATCGTTGACAAATGCTCGGTAAAAAGATTCTTGTAATGCTCGATAATTTGAATTGCTGTTCATGGTGGTCTCGGAGACTTCATCTTCATTTTTAATTAAATTTGCGAAAAATTCGTCAAATTCAATGACTTGTGGTTGAGGCCAATTTTCTTGTTCGCTTTTTTGTTCTAAAATCGAAACATCGCGTCCCGAAACCTCAGAAGCAAATTCTAGCGCGGTTGAGGGTAAGTGAAATACGTTAGGAAAATATACAAACTCAAAAGATTCTTCACTTTCCGAAATATAATAAAGATCTTTAGAAGCGGATAATAACATGCGCTTTATGTGTTCAAGTGTGCTCATTTTAGACTTAAAGTGTAGAAGAATAAAAACCGCGATATTTTTATATAGAAATTTGGCTAGTCATATTGTAGATCAATGATCGATCTTTTATAGGTAGTGAGTGAGTATCACGTGATATAATAATCCAAATGCAAAACAAAACAAGCGAAAAAACCGCAAATTTTATTACTTATGTCTTTAATCTTAAATAACAAAAATTTAAAACAGTCAGGCATCAAGAGAGCTTAATAAATTATGCGATGCAACTCTATAATAATTAATGCTGAGATTGCGAAATTCTCATCCATAATCGAACACCAAAAGTATGACCATAAATAGGTTGTGATTATGATTTTGCTGGGATCGGGAAAACCGTGACTGTATGAAGGGTGTGACTGTATAAATATATGACTGTCTTTCACTCGATGTGCTAAAGACTGAAATCACATGATTTGTTGCTCGAAGCCTATCGGTCACTGGAAATGTCCCCTAAAGTGTATGTAACTATAATATAGATCATTTATTTTAATGTAACAATTTTTCTTTGATATATTTATGTCAATATTAACATTCACGAAATCTTAAAAAATAAGTAAAAATCAATTTATTAGTCTTATTCTTTAAAAACCAAAAATAAAATTCATTAAAAACATTTAATTTATATTTTAATAATCAATTTTTTATTAACATATGAAAATAACTATATAGTAAAGATTATTCTCAAATATAAACTATCAACAAGTAAAAGATAAATAAAAATTTATTATTAATTGACTTTACATTCATCTACTTTGAATTCTTCTTTTTTATGCAGATGTTCATTTGTTTTGCTTATATTTAATTGCATCGAGCTGATATATGTCTCTTGATTTTTGAATTCTGCATTATTAAAATTATCAGGAACTTGTTTTTCAATTGATGCTTCTTTTTTCTTTTGACGCTTTTCTTCATTTTTTAATTTCATACTTCTTTTAACTCCTTGATTTTTTTGTGTAAATTCTTTTTGAGATTTTATGAATTCTTTTTCTTGTTACTTTTTTTTGTTTTATTGAGTTATTGTATTAGTAATTATATCTCGTGAGCATTATCTAGTTATATTTTATATTACTGATTGTTCAACATCTTGTTAATAAATCTTATTAAGTCGTATTTTGCCAATTTCATAACAATCAAAAAGTCTTTTAAATCCATTTTCAGTATTCTGAGTAGTATTAATAAACATTTTATGTTGGACTGGATTAGATAATTGAAAGACTTCCAAAAGTTTATTGGTAAGTTACCACAAAACTTCCTTTCAGGATTTTATATTGTGATCTGTATGAACTAATAAATTATCTCCCACATATTCACTTAAAAGTAAATTAAGACGATCTCATTCATTTTGAACTAATGCTATCTTTAATTTTAAATTATTGATAGATCTTAGGTTTGCTTCAATATTTTCTTTTACATATTTTACACCAAAAGTCTCGAGTGCTTCATCAAAAATAAAATAATGTCCAGAACACGTCAAATTTACTGAGTATGCATAGTTAAGAAGCTTTTGAAGATTAATATCTTTGCCAACGCATGCAAGAAAGTATGTTACAGATTGTACATAATTAAATTGACCAGCTACAGAAAAAAGTAAAGTGAAGGCCATTAAATTTTCAAATTGCATTTGGTAATTTCCACATTGAATTTCTAACTTATGTCCAAGTCATATTATGGTCCAATAAAAAAAAAGGTACCAAACTTTTATTATATTATTGTTCTCTTTTTGAATACTACAAGTTGCTCTCATTATAGTGAACTCTTGATATAGTGAAGATTGGTGATTAGTAAAGTATTTTTATGGTACAAAACCATCACTAATAAATTTTCACTTAATATAGTGAAGTTATATAGCAAACTCTTGATATAAGCTATAGTGAAGATTTTTTTAAACCAGTCTAATAAAAAAATCTTTCAATATAATGAAGATTAATCACGTGAAATTTTTAATCAATTATATTAGAGCACATGATATTATTTAACTAATTAGATTATAAGCACGTATTTTACTTGTACATATAAACTTGGAAATAATTTATTTTCCTATTATTATGCCATAGTCTTATCTTATTTTAGCTAGCTTGTCTCTTTCTCCTTTCGTCAAAGTAATTTGCTTATAATAAGAATATCTTATTTTAGCTAGCTTACTCCTTTTCTCTTTGTTATAATTACTTTTTCCATCCATTTTCCCATTCCATTTCCCATTTTTTTACTATAATTCATTCATGAAAGACTTATCATCATCATCATCATCCTCACTTCCGTTGATGCTAACGGCAATAGTAGAGGCCTCGTTATCGATACGAATGGTAAAAGAGCCAGCAAAGAAGAAGTAAATAAAGATAAAACAAATAGAGTCGAAAAGAAAAAGCTTGACCAGTGCCCAAAAAGCTGAAATATGCCATTTAAAACAGAAAGGCCTTAGTCAAGTCATACTGGTGAACCAATTTGGTATGGCTGAGACAACTATTTCAAACATCCTATGTGAGAAGATGAGATGGTTATCCCTTGATCCAATTTCATACAATATTATCTTGAAATAACAAAGAGCTCCAAAATTCTCTTTGTTAGAAGAGGTACTCTCCTGTTGGGTATCACAAGCAACTACAGCATTACAAATAATTACAGGCATTATAATCCAGCGAAAAGTAACTCAACTTGCAGACTGGCTCAATGTAACAGATTTTAATGTTTCTGAGAGATGGCTCTCAAACTTCAAAAAATAGTTTCATATCAAAGAATATAAGTATCAAGGAGAAGCAACAAGTGTACCTCTTGAAGAAATTCCTCAGTTCTGAGCTAAGCTCCGTGAAGTACTTAAAGAATATTGATCCGAAGATATTTATAATGCCAATAAGACTGGATTGTATTGGCATATGGAGCTGGATAAATCATTAGTAAGTGCTCTGCTTTCTGGTAAAAAAAAGGCCAAAGACCGAGTCACAGTCTTGCTCATGTATAATGCAACTGGTAATGATAAACTTCCTCTGTTGTTCATTTATAAGTTCTGAAATCCCAGACCTCTCCGCAGTATTAACAAGAACACCTTGCCTGTCTATTACTATTGGAATAGTTCTGCCTAGATGCAATTATCTATTTTCAATTACTATGTCCAAAAACTTAATCTTCAAATGCGACTTACTGGTTGGTCAATTCTTCTACTTTTAGATAACTCCTCAATACATACTCTTGAAGAAGGCTATACTTTATCAAATATTTGGCTTTATTTTCTTCCTCTAAACACAACAGCACACTTGCAACCATGTGATGCAGGAATAATTTGGAGCTTTAAGGCACAGTATAAGAAAATTTTCTGTGAAGATCGCATTGATGCCTTTGATATTTCCTTAGAATCCAATGTATAACCTAATCTAATAAATATCAAGAATGTGATTGATTTCACTACTGCAGCTTGGCAAAAGGTAACTTCAAAAATCATTCGTAATTGTTAGATAAAAACTGGCATTTTGCCAGATGAGTTTCTTCATGAATTGTTACCGGCCAAAGAGCTTGGCGAATTCCAATCTCAACCTGAACCCGACTCTAACCCTATCAACGAGATTCAAAGTTTGATTAGTCAATTGTCTCTTGATCAATCTATGGACATATGAGAATATGTAATGGCCAATGATGAATTGATTGCTACCAAGATGCCAATAGATAAGGAAATAATTGTGGCTGTAATAAATCGTGACTGTGATGAACTGAAGAAGACAGCACTAGCACCAGAACTAGTATCTCGGGCACAAGCCTCAGTATTTATTGATGGTATCCTTTGTTTTCTCGAGTAGTAAGCAGATGATGAGTTTGCCATTGATGATTTTTTTATCCAGGGTTTAAAAAAATTAAGGAAAGAAATTGGTTTTAAGAATATTTCTTTAAGATGACAGGTTACTTTAGATAACTATATAAGCTTCCCTCCCTCTCAATAAGCTATTTATAAGAATCAAAATCTATTAAAAATATATGATTAAATATGATTACATTATTATGAATAAAAATATGCACTATTTAAGATTAATTTATTTTTAAGTCTCTTGATATAGTGAAGATTCAGGTCTCTAAATATAAACTTCACTATATCAAGAGTATCAAGAGATATTTGCTATAGTAAATCTCTCATTATAGTGAAGAAAAAGTTATATCCCGATATCTTCATTATAACGAGAGTGACTTGTATTTATTTTTTTATTTTGATTTTTAACATATAATATTAACACATTTCTAACAGCTACCCATAATAATTTAAATACTCTACAAGTGGCTAAATAGTCAATTACTTTTTCTAGTTTATCTAAGTAAGAAACTTCAAGTCTGGCTGCAAGATTAAATATCCCATATCCTGAAAAAATAGCCAATAAAGTTGCGCACATTATTTTACTTATATGCCAACCTCCTAAAAGTAAATGTATATTGGAATCTATATTATATAAACTGATAAGTCTTCTATAAATCATCTCATTACAGGCTATATCCAAATGCTTACTTCTATTTATTTCAATATTATCATAGTATATTTGCGCAGCGTGATGAATATTCTTCATATTACTCAGATTATCACCAGAATTTAATATCATGATATTAGAGAGAGGAATCTGACAATCTATTTTTATGATTTTTTTTAATTCTAAATTAACTTCATAAAAACTAAAATTTGAACCATATTGTTCTAAAAGTATATTGAAAATTTCTTCATATTCATGAAATTTTTTTTCTATAAAACTTGAAATACTGACATAGAAATTAAATTTAGGAAAAAATTTTGTATCTATTATAATTTCTGAAAGTGGATGGGGTAATCAAAATTGGAATACCATTTGAAATGTTGTATGAGCAGTACAATAAGTAACATCAAAAATATTATCATAAGAAAATGTCTTTTCTTTGAAATCAATATTATCAATAACGCATATATTCCAAATATTATTTCTCTTTTCTAATCTTTTTTGAGAATCAAATTCTTTTCTTCATTATTTTTCTAAGCATTT